ACCTCGGACTCCGCTCTTAGTCCTTGCTTCTCTCACGTGGACCCAGCCCCCTTCAAGGCCATGTGCGCCGCTGACATGATGGCAATGACGAACCGAGCCAACATCCAGCAGGCGACATGTCAATCTGCTGCCGCCTACGTTGCCTCGTGCCGGGCAGTCGGGGTTGACCTCTGGATGCCTCCCAAGTGTGGTGAGTTAAACGACATTTCAACATTTTGGAATTTCAGTTTTTGTCAGTCAGAAAGCAAATGATCCGATATATGCGTGCAGTCCGATGCGAACTGGAAGACGGCTCAGTGCTGATCGCTGGAGAAAACGTGACCTACGACAACAACTCCCCAAAGTCGGCCGACATCGTCCTCGCCCTAGACGGGAACGAATGCCTGGAACCCGCTAAGCTCAGCGGGCTGATCAAGAACATCGAGACGGAGCTGAATGCTAAGGGGATCAACGACAACCGATACGCGTTCATCCGCTGGAACATGGACTCGAGTCCGTACGTCCAAGTCATCGACGGGAAGCACTTCACCAATCAAAGGAACCTTCAAAGGGAACTCGACAAGTAAGGATAAAAACTCCGTGTTCGGGCACAGGGCGTCGAACCCAATAAGCACAGTTGGCATAGTTCATGGTCTGACATAGGACAGTCAATGCAGGACTCCTAGTGTGCACAGGCCACCACAAACAAAGGATACTTATGGCAACTTGAGCTAACTGGCTCTATCTGCTGAGCTTTTCATTTTCCGTGAAATTTTTTTTTCCTGATCCCACGCCAATAGAGCTCTTGCTAGAGCAGATAAAGTTATTCCATCGATTAAACTGGGAACGATTCTTTCTCCTCAGCATGGAGCTCACTGGTGTGACGAATGGCCAAGGCGACCTGTACGAGGTGATCGAATTCGCAGCCAAGCTCCCATTTCGAGCGGGGGTTGGCAAATCCCTCGTGATTGTCTCTTGCGAGGAATGCGGTAGCTCCAACACTCAGGCCTACGCCGACACCCTCAATATCCTCCTGGAAGCTGACATGCGACTCCACTTGCTTTACCCAACGAAGATCGGGCTGAAGGGGGAGAAGGTCGCAAAGCCCCTGGACGCTCCGGTTGGATTCGACGACGGGAAGGTGTTCACTCTTAAGGATTCCAGGGAGCTCCGGGGAGACCTGAACTTGAAGGAACGGCTGGCCATCGAGAAGGTAATTCCTATACTTTCGAGTTTTCTTTTTCTGGAAGACTTCGCCTAAATTTAGAAAAATGTAGAGCATCTACTTAATCATCTGTTTTCTTTCTTCACATGGATGACCTTAATAAAAAATTTCAGATGACCGCTTCCTTGAAACAATAAGCAATGCTTCATATTCCAGTCTTTGAGATTAGCTTTCGAAAGCACGGTTCTTGAATAGACCAATGAAGCGAAGCTCCATGTCTCTTGTTAGGACTTCTGCATGCCGTTGGCGATCGAGACAAAGGGCTCTGTGTTCACGATGAACCTCCTGAGGGATAGGCCAAATCGAATCAAGAAGCTTTGGTCAGTGGTCGGACAGAGGCTTTCCGAGACAGGGCTGCCCTCCCCTTGCCTTCGATGCGATTGTGTTCCTGATCGTAGTGGAATGGGACGCACTATGTGCCACCCTTGCATCCCGCCTTCCCTTTCCGATTTCTTCGCTGTGAGTTTTTTTTTTTTCAAATTCATTTGCGTCTAGCCTTTTCTTTCCGACTTATTCGTTTTGAGTTTTCATTCCCCGAAACACTATTCGTTATTCGAAGATTTGAAAGCAAGTGTGAAAGCAAAAAGTCTTTAAAAGTCTCTTGGGGTTCTTATCGTAGGAGAATATAAAGGGAACAATCAACTCCCCATCGAACAAGTCAGATAAATTCTTCGAAGAAACCTTGACCGTGCGACATGGTATCCCTCTTTAGGACCGGCACCGCCAGTAATTAATTCTGCGCTGATTGGAGACCCTCATCATCAGACCGTAAAATGAAAACCCTGATATAGATCCTTTGACGAAGATCCTCATGCGTCCCTTTTTCCTCTTTCCGCTCGTTTTCTTTTCCCAATCAAAAGGCCATATTGTTCTCGTTGTGTCCCAAATCAGGTATTTCCTGATGAGGATTTTCTCTCTTTTCCTTCCCCGAAACAGAACTTCGACCGACTGGAGTACAGCAGTTCCTTGGAATGAATGGAGTTCAGCGGGAACCTTTTGATCTAGTCTTTCGCTGTATACTCTATATGCCTATCGACGAAATTGCATTGAATTCCAGAAATAAAAATGTATGCTCATACCAATGGATATTCTTTTCCCCTGCACGAGTTGATTGAAACTTCAGCACTCTTTGGGAAATCTTCAAAATGAAGTCGAGGTGCCTGTGAAGACACTGCCCGTCATATCGACCATCCCACCCTGTGATTCCAAGTTTTCCAGAATGCACGTCCGATACACCATGCTCGTCTGGCAAAAAGAAAAGCCGCTTGAAGTCATAATGGAGGAGGAATTCGAAGGAATTCGTTGGATTCCTTCAGGGCGGATTCCTGCATGCCATACGCCTGAAGTAGGGGTAAAATACCCAGTGATGGGCCTGTTCGCAGCGATGGGTCACAACACATAAAAATTCCAACTAAGCATGCGTACCACTCATACCCTTACTGGGACATGCGCTACAGGGTGATCGTTTTAAGTGAGAACCCTTGAAGCTAATTATAACTTTGGGTAGGAAAGAGCTGAGAGCATGAAAATTGGTAGCAACGTCCTTTTTTTCTGGAAAGACGTGCCGAGTAATGGTTTATTTAAAAAGGTGTTGAAATTGATCACTGCCATTTTGGATACACAATTGTGCACGTTTGAGGATGCTGGAAGACACCACTTGTAATGAGGTGGGTGGGATGTTGGCAATTAGTTTCGAGATAATGTTTTTCGATTCATCCAAATTGTGTGGATTATTCACACCCACGGAACAATGCCGATACGTATCCAATCGTCACCTACCTGGTTGCCAGTTGCCACTGCTTCAGGCAAAGATTAGGTAGGAGGCATATTGGATAGGGACTTTCAAAGTTCCAAGACTTTAGTCTCTCGCGTCGTTCGTTCGCAAGGGGGGTAGTTGGAGGGGCGAGCATCACTATAGTTCGAGTAGCGACCTCCTGTCAAACATAGAGAAACCACGACTACTCGTCGAACAGGGATTTCTTAAACGTCAGCTTCTATTAATTTCAGTCATCGTCACCGTCGACTGAAACTACGATGCGACTGGGACAATGGAATGACTGTGGTAGAACCTCGACTGAATTGCGATTGAACACGAAGTTGAAATCACCCTTTGTGTATGTAAGATCAAAGGCGATGTCGACTTTTGAATACTGCATTGAACGCCTTTTTCCCTTGTCCTTCGGATACGGCGCAGAATGTGAACATGTCATTACCATTTCAATAACCGATATGCAGGGTGCTTATAAAGTCTTGCAATCGCTGCCGAGAAGAATAAATACGTAGCAACGCATCCAATATACATCAAATTTACTGGGTAAACAAGTCGGGTCATAGGGATTTGAATGGCTGCAGTAAAAAAAATTGTTCACCATGCGGCACTTTATCCACTAGTCCGCGCTATATAAAGAGTGCAACGGCATATTGGTCAGCATCCGTAGTCATGACTCCTCAGAATAAAGTGCTTTTCGTGAAAATTTTCTGCCAGGCAGGTAATAACACTGCTGCAAATGTTGCGAGACTACCGCAGGCAAAAAAAAAAACCTACGCCAGGGTCCCTGGGTTTGTGTCAACTGTTCATCTTCTAGTCCAGAAATTTGAAGACTGGAAACGCTCTTGAGCGTCCCTGTCAGGTCGACCAAGCACACCTCTCAAGGTCTTAGCCAGACATCTCTGTCCATGCTCAAAGATGCCATTCGACATGCCATAGCTGCCATTTCCAAGGACATGCTAGTGTCGTAGTTTGCAATGTCATAGCACGTCTTGATTTCATTCTCTATCAGGACGGGGGGCATATGAACAGCTATACTTTTATGTATTTCCACCCGTTTTCGCTATGGCTTTCATATTCTCATGATTCCATATGTATACCCTGGGTATTTCATGTGAATTGGATGCATTGTTACGGAGTTATTCTTCTCGGAAATGCTTGCAATATTTTATAACCACTCTGTACAGTGCAATACACAATAAGCCTCCCACTGTTTATTGACAAGGAATCAATATCCACTACTAACCAACACCAACACCTGTTTTTTCCCACTTCCAAGGGAAGAAAAATTGTATCAATATTTTCCTCAGGTGACTGTTTAAAGGCCATGGAGAGGACTCACATTTTTTTCTCCCTAAAACGCTCAAAGAGAAATATGCGAAGGCAGATATCTTAATAGGGGAGGTGCTTAAGATTGAGAAAAGGCGCGGAAGCACCTATTGATTCAAGGCGATAGGCTACAAATACTATAACGTCAGATGAACCTATTGTGGGAATGTCATAGACTTTTAAGCTTGGTATCTTGAGATACGTATCGATATGTATTGCACCACCAATACACGAAACCAAATGCAAACAATAGGAAAATTTCGAAAAGTGGATTCGAAAAATGAAGGAAGCGATCACATTGGAATTCCTGAAAGACGCAAGAGCTATGAACGAGGGCCGGAGAAAAGGTGATTGGGCGAAGAGGCAACGCACTCTCACGCTATAGCGTTTGAATCTCTCAATAGTCAATGCATTGCTCCGAGGGTTTATGAGGGGGCTCTTCCACACGATGAAGTGAAGACGGAGGTTGACATGCGTCTCCACGATGCAAGGCCACACAATCCCCCCCCCCTCCGTTTCGACTGGGCTATAGAGACCTAGGGTACTTTAGACACATTTCGGTTTTGCAGACGCTTTTTAGGCGACTTGGCATGGTCGGGAAGAGACTGATACGAATCAGAATTCCATTTTGATGCCTTTTCCTCTTGGGGAAAAAAAGCGAAAATTGACCAAAGTGTTATCATTTCGATTTACTGATTTCTCTGAGTGTTCTGTTTCCTTTAGAGTCGCTCTCGCATCCACAATTGCCATCCGCTTTAAGGGCTAAAATTGCGAATGCATGCAACGAAGCCTGCATGCGCTTCCGGGTCAGCATCATTCGGGAAGACGAGATGAGACGTGCAGACTTTGGAACTGGATTTTGATATGATGAAAATTGCATCATGAAGATATCTTTTAGTTTCGGCTCAGAAGGAGCTGACATTTTCAGACACCTCGTACAAAACTTTGGCTATAGACCCTATACCAAGGACTGGATGAGGCAATTTCTGCGAGAGCACAGGGTTTAGAGGCTTTCTGACTTCAGGCCACGTCCCAAGGGATAAGGATGGCAGAAGGTATTGAGATGGATCGAAACCGTAACATCAGGATTTTTCGTAAAACCTTTCATCCTTCGGTGATTGGCCGTGCCATGACCCCGTGCTTCGAGGGCATCCTACAACGGCTCAGCGATATGCGCAGCCTGCACTGTAGGAATCCCAAATATATTGGGTTCCAACGGGCAGATTAGCCTAAGTAGGCGCTTTAACCCTTCAGCCCATTTCCATCACTACATGTGAATATCGTCCCCTTCAGTATGCATGCGCCTCCGGACAGTGGCAGGCGCATTTAGAGGCCCATCTTGGTCATTAATGAGTGCGATGAGTGCCACAAGTAGGCATTCGGGATTAAAGGATGTCGTAAGGTCTTTACAGCGTTTTCATTTACCCAGATATACGAGGGTCATCCGTAAAGTAATGCACACTGATGTGGGAAAAAAAGACATTTACCTTGAGAGGGAAAGACCGTTATTACTCTTCACTGTAGTCTCCGTTCTTCACAATGACCTTTTCACATCGATGTGGTAGGTCTGCACATGCAGATACATTCAAGTGTCCTCCCAATCCTCGCAAAGTTTTGTAATCCCACCCAGAAAGATCCGCCATAGTAGCAATTCAAAACAGTGAAGTGTGATGACGACCGTCGCAAGCAAAGAGCAGCGATCGTCCCCCGAAGTCCCCGTGTGGTGTACCGCCCATAGATGTTTTCTCGTTTCATGAATATTCACAAGAGTCACAATGACACAGAGTAGGGGAGAGTGGGGCACCATGGGTCACGGGGTACCATGGGTCAGATTGATTATATAACTCTCCAAGCTCTGTTTCTCTTCATGTCATATGCTACATATCTTCCAGCTGAGGTGCCAGGAAAGTGTAGCTGAAAAAGAGTAGCCCCATCCAAAGTGCAAATTGTGTGGACGTTTTTCTTTAGAAGACACTTCTTTCGTTTTTTAGGCAGTGACGTCTGGATTTTTGCTAATTGTTACTCTTGATGAATAGTCTTGATTCAGACTGGAATTGGACTCGATTAGATCGGTAATTCAATGCCAACGCGTTTGAGCAACATCTCAACTTACTCCGGTTGAGATTTCATTTCGATGGTTCCTATTGGGGCACAATGGGTCATAACTCAGGGCACCAAATGTTTCCTGATAGTTTCCAATACAGATCAGGATTTCCTTTGCAGTCTTTGCCCGATCTAATAAAGCGCAAATTGAAGCGGAAGACTCTGAAGGGTTCAAATGGGAAAGCAGATGGGATATTCTTGGACGTGAAACGAAGCGTTTATTATTTTTTGTTTAAAGGTTCCTAATTTTTCTAGATAACTTTAGTGGAGAGCATCAGTATTCAAGAGCTTCTCCTCCTGTGGTGCGAAAACTTATTTGTATGATGACTTTGGGTCAACTGAAGTTCTTTTTCGCGATGAATTCGGGGATGACCCATCGTACCCATGGTTCCCCATTTTAAAATACGACTTTATCGCACGACACTTGAAGGCTGACAAATTTTAAAATCGGGATTGTGCAGGTGCTTTGAGTATTTACACGCAGGACCTTCCATTGCCTCAGAGGAATA